CCCCTGGTCTTACAGGGTATATATACTGCACTGTACACACTGCACACTACTGTCCCCCTGGTCTTACACTATACTGTACACACCACACACACATGTTCTCATGTGAATGGGTTCAAATAAGGCCAAGTCCTACTTCTGTTCTGCTCTTCCTCATGTCTCTTTGTGTCTCCCCCTGTCCTAGAGCCCCTTTGTGGTGTCAGTGGCTCTTCCGCCAGATCTGCAGACTCCCACCACTCAGTTCTGTCTGGAGCAGCACTCTCACGCCGGCTCCGGCCGCCATGTCTGGGCCCTGGACTTCCTGCAGCTGCTCCCTGTGCTCCCCGGCGCACAGACTCACGTGGCCCAGTTCTCCATCAACCTGGGCTGCGGCTCTTACCAGCCCGCCAACAGGTGACTCTGCGCTGCCGGTGGGGCACACGCGCATGTCCCGTGCACTGCAGTAGGGCAGAAGGGAGACCTCAGCTTGCCAGTCTCCCTCGTTCAGAAGAGCATGTCCGAATACAGAGCTGGGGCACATAACCCATATGCGTTTCATTTATCGCTTGCTTCCTAAGACGAAGACGGAGCCCCCCGTGAGAGAAATATCACCCTCTAGAGATAGGGATGTGATGCACCTGTCGTGGAATTTAAACAGGTTTATGAGCAGTTGCAGTCGTACCTCCACTAGAATAAAAAATCCCATCTGCATGTTGTTTAGAGCAGGCATACTGTACATTTATCCAAATCATTGATGGGACAGAAGGGGATCGTTCTCTAATTAATTGGTGCCATTTGAAAAGTCTCCTAAAACACTCGTTTTATGTGATGCGAATCTAAACTCTCTCTCTTATCTCTCCTTCCTCCTCTCTTTCACGACCTTGTGACTCTGTTCCGCACTCCGTCCCCTGTCCCTATGCCCTCTCCCCCTGCCTCGGTCTCCGGCCACCTCCTGCAGCGTCAATCTGGAGTTCTCCACCAATCACGGGCGCTCGTGGTCGCTCCTGCACACCGAGTGCCTGCCGGAGCTGTGCGCTGGGCCTCACCTGCCTCACAGCACGGTCTACTCCTCCGACAACTACAGCGGGTACGAAGGGATGGGGGAGAAATGTGCAGGGACAAGGGAGGAGAGGGGTGGCACACAGAACTACAGGCCTTGGGTAATACAGAGTGCTTTCCTTTTACAGCACGGTCTACGCCTCCTACAGCTACAGTGGGTACAGGGAGAGGGGAGGGGAAGGTGGAGGAATGTGCAGGGACAAGGGAGGAGAGGGGTGGCAGAGAGAGTCTCCCCATTTCCCCACAGAACTACAGGCTCCTGTTGAGGTACTGATGGGGGAGGAAGACCGGCAGCCCAGACGGAGACAGGCAGTGAGCGGGAGAGAGTCGGCCGCATGATTTGCTGGATTAGAAATGGGACTGTGCGCGTCTTTGCCCAGTCTCACTGTGTGTATATCGCCCCCTGCAGGTGGAGCAGGATAACAATCCCCCTGCCCAATGCCGCCCTGACGGAGAGCACGCGGTTCCGCTGGAGGCAGACGGGGACAGGGCCAGGAAACATGTGGGCCGTCGATAATGGTGAGGGGCCGAGGGCGGTAAGGGCGCGGGAGCCGGCAGTCCCGCGGTCCCGCGTTGTTCAGAGGGCTCATTACACCCGCCATGTCTCCAGGGAGCTCTGGGTCCTGCTATTGTTTTTCACAGTGACATCGCAGTTACCGAGAAGATTCATTCTTAGCTTGGTTAGACCGGGACATTATACACCTGCTGAAATTTCCATTTGCTGGAAACAAAATGATACAAGAACCACCATTACCACAGCTGCAAATTGTCAACAGAGTAATATAAGAATAGGGTTTAATTGGAATATTTTACAAAAAGCTTCTTATTATACAGTGTTTGTGTTGACTTCTTGTTTACTATAAAACTGGTGATGTACTTGCACAGATCATTAGCAGAAGTCCATAGGCTCACCAGATGTTAAATGATTTGTTTGCCTGTAATCTCCCTGTCTTGCTCAGTCCCTCTCTAATCCCCCTGTCTCTCTCACTCTGTCTGTAATCTCCCGTCTTCTTCACTGTCTGTAATCTCCCTCTCTCTCACTTTGCCTATAATCTCCGTTTCTCTCACTCTGTTTGTAATCTCTCTCACTCTGCCTGTAATCTCCATGTCTCTGTCACTGTTTGTAATCTCTCTCTTGCTCTGTAACCTCCCTCCCTCTCTCTCTGCCTGTAATCTCTCTCTCTCACTGTCTGTAATCTCTCTATCTCACTCTGTCTGTAATCCCCCTGTCTCTCTCACTCTGTCTGTAATCTCTCTCTCTCACTCTGTCTGTAATCCCCCTGTCTCTCTCACTCTGTAATCCCCCTGTCTCTCTCACTCTGTAATCTCCCTGTCTCTCTCACTCTGTCTGTAATCTCCCTGTCTCTCTTGCTCTGTCTGTAATCCCCCTGTCTCTCTCATGGTCTGTAATCTCATTCTGTCTGCCTTGCAGTCTACATTGGACCATCCTGCCTGCGCTTCTGCTCTGGCAGGGGACAGTGCACGAGGAACGGCTGCAAGTAAGTCCAATCAGTAGAAAAGTATTTAGTTAGAAACCCAAGCAGTCCATTCATCAGATGATGAGGAAATGATCTGACCCTCCATCCTCCTGTCTGTCCTGACATGCTTCTCTCTTCCTTACCTCTCTCCCTCTGCTCTCTCTCACCCCTCTCTCCCAGGTGTGACCCGGGATTTTCCGGGCCGGCATGTGAGCTGGCTTCCCAGACATTCCCGGCGTTCCTGTCTGAGGGGTTTTCCAGTGCGAGGCTCTCCTCCTACCACAGCTTCCAGTCTCTGCGGGGGGCTGAGGTCAGCTTTGCCTGTGGTGTTCTGGCCAGCGGCAAGGCCCTCGTGTTCAACCGGGACAGTCGGAGACACCTGGTCACCACACCCCTTGACAGCTCCCAGGCCAGGTACAGTGACACTGCCCACCCCTCGAAACACTCCCATCAAGCAATGCAAGGGGGAAGCAAGGTACGGTTCTAAGAAAGGAAACAAGGTAAATTCAATTAAAAGATCTCTGAGGCTAGTTTTCTGTGTTCACCTGTCTTATTGCCAGTCCCTAAAAGGCACTCAGAAAGGAAAGATTTGCTGAAGTTGCTGTTTTTTTTAATTATTTTTTAATGTAAGGTTACAGTGCTAAATTGTACCAGCAGGGGGAGTATGTGTATCACTTCCAGCCTAGTGTGTCTGAACCCTTTCCTGAGGTCAAACTTACGATGGACTGCTGGATGCATAATGATGCAGGATTGAAATAGAGGCAGTGGTGAAATGAGAACCCATCGTAGCAGCTTTATGAGCGCAGTCTCTTGCGGTTTTGCTATTTGCTATGACCTTGAATATTCAATGATGTCAAAGATTTGCGTAGCACATGTAACCTTACTGTGCCCGTTGTTCAGTTCGCACTTTACAAACCTGGAAAAATAGTCCACAAATCCCATTCAGCTCGTAGATCAACTACAGAGTTGACTTTGGTGATGCTTTTGGACGTCGTGCACTGCATCCGACAGAAAAACGCGCCTGTTCAGTCAGTTCCATGATAGGCGTTTAAACCTCCCCTTCCTCTTCCTGTCCTACTGTCTGATCTTCGTCCCCGTGTGCTCCTGCAAGCGGGTCACTTCTAGCTCATGCGTTCCAGTGCTTGTGGGGTGTGCGCAGTCTGGGCGCGGAGTCCTCTTCGGCGGTGGAGGGGCGCGCTGGTGATTAATCGCGGTGGTCTTTAATCCAGGCAGCCCTCCACCGGATCGCCGCGCTCGTCCGTCATCCGCTCCCCCTCCCCGATCCGCGTCTGAGCCGTTGTTGTTTTTCCAGCGGGGGGAGATGGATGAGCGCTGCTGGACGAGGTGTTGATGAGGAGTGATGAAGGGACGAGAGGGACAGGCAGGGGGAGGGAGCCGCGGATTAATGAGCGCAATCATTCAGTAGCTTGTGCCGAACCCGGTGCACATTGTTCATTTTCTGTTTTTCTGCTTGATTGGCTCGACACCTGCTGAGGATACAAAACTGAGATTATGATTTATAAAAGACACACTAATTTAATTGAAGTGCCTGTAGTTGGAGGGAGGGCTGTTGCAGGGTGTCAGGCTGGGTGTCTTAGTGTTCTCCATCTGCTTGCAGGTAGCAGCAACACACCTGAACTCACCTGTCCATCCAAGCAAGGCACCTGCTCTTGCTTACTGTATGAATATAATCTCTCTTGACTCCCTCTCCCTTCATGACTGCTTTTCATCTCCGCCCCCCCTTCCCCTCTGCTCCTTCCCTAGTCCGGTTCCCGATATCCCACTCAATTCCAGGTGCTTTATTAGCATGACCGACGGGTACAATCAGTGTTGCCAGAGCAAACAAAAAAAATTCACTTGAAACAAAACAACTCTTTTTCTCCTTTCCCATCCTTTATGCCCTCTTCGTTCTCAGGTATCTGCAGTTCACTCTGCGGCTGGGCAGTCGCAGTACGCTGAGCTCCTGCAGTGCTCCTGACCAGCCCGGGGAGGGCGTCCTGCTACACTATTCCTCCGACAATGGCATCACCTGGACCCTCCTGGAGCACTATCCCTACCAAGGCTTCCATGAGCCCAGGTACCCCCCCAGCACGCACTCTGGTCTGCCTGTGTGTGAAATGGAGAGCCGCCTGGCTGTCTACGGCCTCTTCCCCCCTGATGGAAAACAATCTGTTGTGGATCATTCATTCATTTGCTGCGGCTTCATCAGCTAATGAAGACAAACGGCCCTGAACCGTGCTGCTGGGAGGGGCGTTGCAGTACTGGGGAAGGCAGCGCTGTTGTAGAGCAGTCCTCGGCACTGTGGGTCAGACCCTCCTCAGTGCTGGGTGCACAGAGAGGATGAGTGCGATTGATACCGGCTGTGGGCGTCACACCCTGGCACAGAGCCACCCAGTGACACACATAAAGCATTATACCTGTGAATTTCTTCTGTCAGCCCTTTGTGGCAATGGGTCCAGGCCCTCTGCTGGTAAATTTCGAAAACGCAGCCGAAAGACAAGGGGTTCCTAGTTTGAGTCCTGACTGGGGACACTTAACACTCAGTGTGTAGGTCATAATATGTGTACTCCACCCTTCTCCATTTCTCACCTTCTCCCTGTCTGTCTCCCCGTCCCGAACTCTCTCACTCTCGGTCAGGATTGTGTCTGTAGAGTTGCCTCAGGGTGCCCGGACGTTTGGAGTGCAGTTCCGGTGGTGGCAGCCGTACCACTCTGGAAGAGGCCAGGACGTGTGGGCACTGGATGAGATCACCATGACTTCCGTCCTCTTCAACAGCATCAGCCTCGACTTCAGCAATGTGCTGGAGGTCACTCAGAGCCTGGGCTTCTACCTGGGACATGTGCAGCCCTACTGTCAGCACGACTGGACACTGAGGTATACTGGCACACTTTAAGAATGGCACTG